TTTGGTGAGTTGAGAGATGACAAATATGGCTCCTCTTTACCAGAGAGTAAGGCAATCTTGTGATCATCTGTTTTACAGGAAAAGAGCAAGCAATTAAAATTCGTATTACAACATATTTATACTGCACGTTCATATCTGTGGCCAGTTCATGATAACAGAGCAATTGTCTTTATGATTTAGCAAACATCTCTCCAAAGGTACTAGTCTAACCCTACACATGCTTTGACAATGTACTGACTGCCCAATGAATAAAACATACATCTGAATAACATTGGACCCCTTTTGTTCTGTTGGGTTGCATCATCCTTTACAGAAGAAGGCTCAGCGTTGGTTGGTTTCAGGAAAACACACTTCTTCTGAATCACAGTTTTCACAGACCTTTTATATTGAAGTAGAGATGAGAACAATGTAATTGTCATGACATAGATCATGTGTAGAGTGGTCTTGTGTCCTAAAATAAAATAGAATAGAAAATAACTTACTTTCAGGCTTTTGGCAGAAGAGTTTTCATCTGGGACTGCATCTTCAGAAGAGGTCTTTGCACCTTTGTTGATGCTGAAAAAGTATTTGTATTAGTGTTTATGTATGAGCTCCATATTCGAAAATCACTCGCGCACTCTACTTACCTAGATACGGTCTTCTTTGATTGGTGTTTTTTGTTTAATACATGGAACGCCGAAGGCGGTGTGGATGTTTGGTTAGGTATGCTTCTCGACATGTCTTCTCCATTGCATGTTCTTGAGAAGAAGTAGAGGAGAAAATGTTCAGAGCCCATGCTGCCACAATGGCTGGTTAAAAACATCCCTTTGAGACAAATCTTAAATAAAATGCCACGTGCTGTGACCATTTCAGGCATTTGCATCAAAATGAAGGTTTCTTTGGTCTATTTGTGATCCTTTCATTGACAACAATTCTTGATCTGTTAATGTAAGAAAACTTCCCTCCAAAAAATCTTGAAATCATCTTCTGTGATTTCTTCTTCCATTCCACCAGCTTCTTTTGCATTACTATACATTGCAATGCATGACTGAGGACATGCCACTGATGTACCCACTCACTTTCCATATCACACAACACATTGTATAATATTAAGCATCATAGTGGAGGTCAAAGTGCTTGCAGGTGTCCCATCTTATCCTTGATTTAAGGCTTTATCAGAAAGCAATCATCTATTCCTTCTCTCTTGGAATTCTTCATCTACTGAATCAGAAACCATTTGACAAATTGGGATGAGGAGGATGCGTCTCAATATAAAGCATACTGAGGGGCAATCACTGATAAATGTAGCTTGCAAGTTGCTAGAAGTTCTCCAATATTCATGATTTCTGCAGAGGTTCCCACTCTGAATGAAATAATGAATAATGGCATTATTTCGAAGATCTAACTTTGACTGGTGAGTCCATCTTCATCCACCACAAATCCATTGCAGCATGGGCTACTGACACATTAGCATACAGGAGTATTGTCTTTTTAATGTTGTACCAAATGTTGATACACTTACTGTATCGCAAACGTTTTTCTGCATGTAGACACGTCTTTGGACCGCCTTTTCCAATTGCGCTGTGTAACCGCCGCGTCCACTGAAGTCCAAATCAGGTCCACAGAGAAAATGCATTGTGAAAATGAATGGTTGTTGTTGTTTTTTTTTAAATAATTTACTCTGCTCAGTTTGTTGTAGATTTTTTATTGATTTGTAGTTTGTGGTTCCATTTGAATTATTGGCCACAAAGACAGAAGTATACAGCTTGAACAGTGTGCCTCCAGAAATTTTCACTCTTTTCATATCGATACATCCAGTGCTTGAAGTGAAAAGAGATCCAGTTTGTCCACGCTCACGCGCAAGAGAGACCCAGCGTGTCCACGTCAATGCTGCAGACAGTGAACCTGCATTTGTCAAGCAGGACAGAAAAGAGTACTGAGCTGCCGGAATGACAGAAAAATGTCTGGTACTGTAAACAGCATAGAGGGCCACGCTGCTATATAGTTTCAAACAGAATTTGTAATAAAAAAAAATATTTACAGGCGAATTAGGTAAGATCTAAGCACCACAACTTTAACTCTTCCAAATCACTCAAAGTGGATGGTGGAATATTCGAAAGGAATAGGGCATAGGGTCGATAACTCTGAATAGAACACACTCCAGGTGCGGCGCAATCAGTGACATCAACACAGCAAACTAACAACGACCTATGCCTCTAACCAGAGGTGAAGAGCTGTCGTTCCAACGACACAAGTTTGCGATGCAGTTGGCAAATGTTCGTTTGAACTATAGTTTCGGGAAACACCGAATCGTTGAACTATGTTGGTAACGACGGAACTTGCGACCATAGTTGGCTAACGATGCTTTTGGGAAACGCACCCCAGGTTAGGTTCACAGAGTAAGTTACTATGGTAACTTACCGAGAGGTTTAGTTTTGTCTTTTACTGGAACCGAAAACCCTGAGTTTCCCTTTTCTGGGGTTAACAAACTCTGAGTTTCCAACAAAACCCACTTTCTGGAACACACCCCTGGTGTGTTGTTCCAGATGATGTTTATGATGTCTTGAATGAGTCACGTTTTATTGACCCAGAGAGAATAGAAAAGGAAAGTATGTCACGTGACGTGCACCTGCTTACACGTAGGATTACCTCTGTTATACACATCAGGAAAGGAATGTGCCATTTTTGTGTGCCATTGGTGTGCCATTTTTGTATGTTTTGGTTTTAGTTAGCGTAGCCTTAGTTAGGGCGTATTGCATGCCGAAGATCTTCTTTTGTTTTCTGTTTTTGTTTTCAGTTAGTGCAGGGGGCGGGGAAATTAGCTAGTGGGCTTTGGTTTTGTTTTTTTGTTTATTTAGCACCGCTCATTTTCTTTCTCTCTATGGTTGTTTTTTTCCCCTCCTGTATAAATTTGTTCTTTACCTTAGTTGTATATAGCGTTATAAGTATTATCTCATTTTGCCTTGTGTATAAATTCTGTCTTTGGCACTGTAAATAAAGCGAACCACTTATTTGCATTTTGGCGTTCCGGTCGTGATTCTTGGTTGGTACCCCACGGTTATCTTAGAGACAAATTGATAAGGTTGTGCTAATTCTTATGCGTGTCTTCGCCATACCTCTGAGCCACTAGGCGACGTAACACTAACAAAACCCAATACCTGTAACGGGGCTGACGAGACGTGAGACGTGCGGATCCATGTGCGAGCTTTATTAAAACAGAAGAGGTCAGAAACACAGGCAGGGTCGAACAATGGCAAACAGGTATAATGAGGGCAAGACTGTGTGCAATCAGTGCTGTGTGCAATCAGTGCAATGAATGATGGGATATGTAGGCCGGGGTGATATGCAACAGTGTGTAGTGCGAGAGTCAATGAAAATGGAAAGGGTGACCTCTGATGGCTAGCAGACGGAAGTTCATGGACCGGATACGTAACAATACCAACTAGAAAAGAACAACATGCCAAAAGATGATTAACATTTACGAAGATATTTAATAGATGTATAAAAATATGAACAAACATTTTCATGTCCAATATAAATTGAGACAACATGGTGGACATGTTATGTTTTATGCTATTAGAGAAGACTTCTAAAATTGAGGAATACAGAGAAGTTTAACACTGAAGTTGCTTTCCCTCCAAGGAAATGATGACACTTCTAGCAAGTCATGTGATTCAGGGCATTTGCTTAAGATTTTAAGGGCAAGTGGCACCACTGTAACAGGGTGAACTGGAGATTGAGACACATAATTTAATGGTTTTGTGCATTAAAAATATGTATCACAATAAAATGTATTGTGTGAAGTGAGATTGAGAAAACATGATTTGAGACATGGGAATTTGTGATGGGAAATGCTTTTAAAAATTATTCTTAGGTACCAATTTTGATTATTATGAATTATGAATTTGAAAGTTAAAATAAAAAAAATAAAATAAAAAAAAACTATAGGAATGACCCAATAATAATGCACTTAAAAACAGCTGCCAGTGGACTAATGGTCAAATTTATATTTGCTGGAAAATGAACATTCTAAATGAATATTTCAAAGACATATTCTTGTGAGAGATGAAGTTATGAATGAGGCATTACAATAATTGATTTCAATATCACTGAACACATCCATTAAAAATATCTAGTAAACTGGATACTTTTGTAGATAGGTGTCACACAACCGAAGGGGACAGAGACGATATGACAGCAACAGATGATTTATTAAACAGGCAAGCTGGCACAGCCGCACAAGTAAATGAATAGAGCAGGATACAGACAAATGGATGATGTAGGAAGGGTGGGCAGGCAGGCAGGCAGACAGACAGACAGACAGACAGACAGACAGACGGGCTTGCTGAGAGTCTTGAGTACCAGGTAGAGTCAGGCAGCCGTTCTTGATAGAACGACGAGACCAGACACTGAGGGATTGTGAGAAACCAACTAATATAGGGAGTGCTAATGAGGCGTTTCTGGTGTGAGGGATCAGTATTCTGGTGATTGGGAACGAGTAGGCAGGGATCTGGAGCTGGCGATGTTGACTCTGTGATAATAGGTAGGTAGATAGATACATACAAACATGGCCTACATACATACATATATACATACATAGATACATAGGCTACATATAGTCTTAAAGGGGTCATATGATGCTGCTAAAAAGAACAGTATTTTGTGTATTTGGTGTAATGAACAACAATACTACAGCGAGAATAAACGTTACGCCTTCTTTCTTTGCGTGAACATTTGTTATGCAAATCTTCCCACAGAGTGACGTAGGTATGTGGGGGCGTGTTAGGACGAGCCGTTTTAGGTAGGTGTGGCTGAATCTTAACTTTTATAAAGAATATCTCTTTGGATTTGAGACTTTAGTCTTTGCAACTTTACAGATCTTCTTTATGCACCAAGAGCTTGTAACACTCCAAAGAGAAAGGAAAAATTGAAATCGCATCATATGACCCCTTTAAATGTGAACAGAAATACTATATGCAATATTATTAGTTTATCTGATTAATCTGTGATAATTTTTCTCTTTATAAATGATTACTTGTCCATTCTCTCAGATAGTTGTAACAGTCCCTCTGCTGCTTTGCATTTGCCCCGCATGAGTCTCTAAGCCAGTTCTTAAACTTCCACTCATCCTTGTTCAGGACCAGGAAACGCCCCAGGACGTCCCGCGCTCGTATTATACCTCTGTTCTGTAATCGTCCGCCCAGCACAGGACCAATTCCAGGAAGCTCATACACAAGTTTATCCCCCATTGGCTCAGAACAGAAACATCTGTGTTTTTTGGACGTTGTCATTGCAGTGTGTCAACAGTGACATTTGTTGTAAAGTCTGAGAGAAAACTGAATCTGTAGCTTAGCATGTAGCTTGTTAGACCTGTAAAGATTCATGATTAAATAATGAAATATAGCATGCATTTTAGATGTGATAAATATATAGATTAATGTTGTAAAGAGGACAGATGAATAGTGAGACTTTCTGATTTGTCAGTTACATTATTCTATAAAATGCATTCCCATGCTAGTTTAGGATGCATTTAAAGCTAAATTTTAGTAACAGAAAAAGTACTAACATAATGATAGAAGAAAGCATATTAAATTAAGAGCCCCGCTTGCATCCTCCACTGCTTCAAAATGAAATCAAGAGTTTTATCTGTAAAAATCTGCTGCTTAATAATTCGGTTACACTCACCCAGTCTTTTTCCCCGTATACTCAGCACAAAAATACAAGGCCGCACCTGTGCAAAAGTGTTTCCTGCCCAAGCTGCTTTGCGTTTCTTTCGGTTTGATATGACCTGCCTACGTGAACAGACCATATATAGAGTTCCTCTAGATCTGTATGACCTAGCAGTGAGAAACACTGAAACACAATAAGGCTGTCACAATGAATATACATGTCTTTTCATGTTTCATATTGATACTCTGGGTTTCTCTTTTATATAAGTACATTCACAAACATCAACAGTCATTAGGTATTAACAAAGCAACTGCATTGTATAGATATCAAACTAGTGGTAAGAATGTCATGCTAAGGGTTCCTCAATTCAACCAGACATAAATGAATAAAAATATTCTGTCTAAACTTTGATTTAAAAGCAGCAGTGCATTAGACTACAGTTCTGGACTCTGTAAATCAACAGTCATTCAAGTACAGCATTAATACTGTGAAGAGGACAAAGTTTTAAGGGTTATCTGTGCACTCTCTGTATAGCTTTGTTGAAGATTTGAAACATAAATTGATGTTTCAATGGTTCGTCTCTTGTCAGCTGAACAATCGCTATGTTGTTAAAGAACAGTGCAGTCCATTGAACACACCTCAGTATTTCTGTATTTCTATCCTCAGCCGATTTCATTCCTGTCAAAAATTAAATATATCGCTACCCTGACTAAGGACTACTGGCCTTAAAACCTAGGAGTTAAACTGGTAGAGCTCATCTCTGATTTTATTGTTCAAAATGTTGTGTTCTTTGTGTTGATCAATGTTTTAATCTAAATGGAAGATAAGCTACAACAAAATAAGCCAGAACACTATAACAGTAGCAATTCTATCTCTTCAATTTTATTTGTCTCAGATAAATGAGCCTGGGAATTAGGGCTTAAAAAGTACATTTCTTTGAATTAATTCATGACGTATAACTGGTTGAAATACATGATATATACAGTAAGTGTTTCTAGTATGTTAAAGCCAAAGGGCAAAAAGTGCAGGGTTACAAGGTTAGTGTGGAGTTCCAGAGCCTTGGCTATTTTCCTGCACCTCAAAACCCTGAGCTACTCGTTCATCCTTCACTAAAATCACAATGGACTCTGAAAACTGAAACTTTATAAGTGATGCAGTTTAAGATATCAGTCTCTATTTTAAATGAAAACATGCAATTTCATTTACATTCTGAGCAAAATGATACTGTAAATTATATAGTCTTAATGTGCAATGATGTTTTTTATTATTAATATTATTTTGGATCACAAGAAAATTAGGTTGTGGTCATGAAAAGCAATAATTATGCAAGGGATTTCATATGAAACAAATGTAATGGCTCTAAAAAAAACATGTATATATAAAAAGCGCTTCAACAGACTTCAACAGAAAACACTAAACAGAAAACACTGCCAAGCATGAATAGAAATTACAAAAATAACATTTTCCAAGTAAACATTGTTTTTAAAGTTTCCCATTGATAAGCGATTATTTGCCATTCACCCAAAATTTGAAATAAGATTAATTTAAGAGTAGACATTTTCAGAATTAGATGATATATTCAAGAGTAGAACAGAAATCTAGATGAATATCATTACAGATGATATAGATGCAACCAATCCCTTCTCTTTACAAATTATTTTTTGTCCGTTCTCTCAGACCATTGTAACAGTCCCTCTGCTGCTTAGCATTTGCCCCACAGGTGTCTCTAAGCCAGTTCCCAAACTTCTCCTGGTTCTGGTTGAAGACCAGAAAATGGCCCTCGATGTCCCGTGCACGGCTTATACCGCTGCCCTGCAGTCGCCCGCCCAGCGCACGACCAATTCCAGGAAGATCATGTACAGGTTTATCTCCCATTGGCTCCAAACAGAACTGCTTGTGTTTTCGGGAAGTCATTGCAGCTAATTGTAGGTCAGACTCAGCAGTGATATTTGTTGTGAAGTCACAAAACTGAAAAAAAGTAACATTAATGAGATGTATCTTGTTAGACCTGTAAAAAACAGATTAAATGTCTGATGTCTGACAGACGTCTGTAAGATATCAGTTTTACATACATTCTAAATCATAAACATCTTAAAGACATCTAATAGATGTCTATTTGAAATCTAAAAGGAAACGTCCCATAGACGTATTGCAGATGAGCAAACACTCTAAAAAGGTGTCTATAGAGTGTCTATATACACTAAGTGCAAATAGCCCGCCATGTTGGCAGAGGCTATTTACACTAATTCCGCCCACCAATGTGTGATTTGGATAGTCAACATTACAAAAGATATAGGCTTAGATCTCTGCCACAATTCTGCGCGCGAAAGATCATATTTTGAGCGCACAAAAGTGAATTTTTCTACGCGCGATCTGAGTTTTGTTGAGATAATGTTCGTTTCGCAAAGAAAAAAGTATTTAGAGAGCGCGAAAATCAATTATGCATTTAAAATAAGTTTTTGGATGGGTGCAGACCTTCTCTTTTGCGCGTGCATTGCATGCATAATTATTATGCAAGTTGATATTCTGATTATATATTTTTTTAATTACACATTTTATCAATTCCAAACGACATCAATCATAATAACTACTATTAATCTTGTATTTAATCACTTATAATCTATATATTATTGTTCATGAAGGCTGGAAGTGAAAAACGCCTTATATTCAGGTGTGCATAATTATTAAGCAGGTTATCTTCTACAGATAAAATCTCGAGATGGACTAAAAATGAACTCCCAAAACTTACTGCCAGATTCTGGAAGATAAATTCTTCAAACAGTGGTAACAAGAGGATGTGGTGCTGGTCCTTCAAGAGGCACTCTCAACTTATCTGTCTATAAAGCATATATATATATATAAATCAGTTTTCAAGCATTTTACTACACTTCAGTATGTGATTCTTATTAAGTACTTAACCTAAGTCTCTGAGAACCTGACACCTTGTACTTCTGGAGACTCCAGGTAGGTTGCAGTTCTGGAAAATGGTGGCGCTGGAGACTAAATGGTTCCTGATGATTTCACACCTAATTCTTCACCTTAATTCCTAATTCTTTTGCAGTTAACATCGGGCATCAGGTGAGCAAGCTAGTGAAACGTTGCACGCGCAAAAGAGAAGGTCTGCACACATCAAAAAACTTATTTTAAATGCAAAATTGATTTTCGTGTGCTCGAAATACTTTCTTCTTTGCGAGACAAACATTTTCTCCACAAAACTCAGTTTGCGCGCGTGCAAAACGCACTTTTTTTCTTATCTTTCGCGCGCAGAATTGTGGCAGAGATGTAATGTCATAATAAGACGACTTTCTATCGTCACTTTCAGCGGCCTAGATGTAAAGCGCGTACTGCTATCATTCTGAAGAGATCAACCTGGGTTTACAGTGGTTCGAACCCGCTTTTTGCCGAACTTTTTTTCCTCCATTTCAAATCTCATATCACATCGGAAAGGCATTTATTTTCAATAAAAATTAAAGAAATAATCAAGAAGTGTAAAATAAAGTATCGGGTAGGTGTAGGGAGGGCTTTATTGTCCCAATAAGGTGGCATCCATTTAATAATTTGAATCTCCGTGATGTACGTTACGTGTGCTATCAGTGTGCTATCAGGGTTTAGTACGTTCCTCGGTTTTGAAGTCACTGTTCGGAAATTTTTCGGTGGGAATATACTAAGCATAAAACAGCTGAATATATTTCCTTTTTTTTTTATTAAACAGTGCACTATAAAAATATTTTTTTACAGTGTGGTTTAGTGAACAAATTGTGGGTCTATCTTCAAATAAATTCAATTATACTTACATTTTTCTTACTGATAAAAATCAATTATATCAAGTAATATTGTAATCTAGGCCCTATTCTAGCGAACTACAAGATGTGGACACCAATGACTGAGGTAGGCTAAATATAATGCTACGTGACTTGGCATACAAGCTGTTTTCTGCAGATGATGAAACACTGAGCGATTCTACTATGTTCATTTATGTTTATTTCGTGCTGTAAAAAGAAAGGGTAATCGCATTCACTCGCGTTTCCGCACTGCCGTTTGAACAGATACAGCAATCACGCCACATCAAAGAGCGTTAAAACGGCATTATTGTTTGAATTACCTGATAACATTGACCAAATTTGAAGGATGAGACATTGTGGAAAGTAACAAAAGCTTTTGCGATAATGGACGGGAGGCACGGGCATCAACAACATAGACTAAAGATCATCTTGGAATTTAAGAATCGATATAGATTTTTTTAAATGAAGATAGAAAATTGAAGTTTCAAATTAAGTTCAGCATATGCAGTTAAAACAACGCTGTAGGCTATTTGCATGTACATGCCTACCGAACCAAAAGACCGGTAACGAAAAATTTCCGTACAAGCCTACGTGTAGGCCTACCGTTACACCCCTAAACATTAAATACGAAATATAATATGTAGTATGCTGAAATAATGGAAAAATATGATTTGATGAAGTTAATGTTAAATTAAGAATCCCACTTTACCATATTCACAACATCTGCAGTGAACTCTTACTGTGATATAATTATTTAGGCTACAAAGCATTTTCCATAGCTTCATCATGAAATCAGTGCTTTATCATTAAATATCTGCTACTCAAACACAAGATTATTCTTACCCAGTCCTTTGCTTTCTGCCTGTGTTGCTTTAATTTCATTTTGGGCTTATATAGTCATAACCCCTTCCTGAACAGACCATATATAGAGTTTTGTCTAGTCTCTGTTGTCTAGAAATGAACCTTTGTGATATGTAGAAATGTTGGAATCAAACCCTGCTTTAAAAATAACACGTCCCATTTATGTTTCTCTTTCTTGAGAAATGAAACTTAACTCACTTTCTGAGCAGAACAGAAAGGTGCCCTGCTTATCTGAAAGCCCAGAAAGTGCATGCAGTTTTTTTTTTCTATTGTTCAATCATGACCTCTAAGCACAGTTAGATCATTACTTCATAGAATGTTAGACGGATGCTTATTACATTTTACAATAAGTAGAGCAACTGTATGAGATCTGCCTGTGTGATCAGATGTCCTCTAAAAGATCTAGCAGTGAGAACCAGTGAAACAAAATAAGGCTGTCAAGGTACACTCTAAAAAATGCTGGGTTAAATACAACCCATTGCTGGGTAAAATAGGGACAAACCCAGCAATTGGGCTGTTTTGACCCAGCGGTTGGTTTAAATGTTTAACCCAACCTTCTGGGTAGTAACCCAACCGCTGGGTCAAAACAACCCAATTGCTGGGTTTGTCCCTATTTTACCCAGCACTGGGTTGTATTTAACCCAGCATTTTTTAGAGTGTATACTGTGTCTTTTCATGTGGTTGTATGGGAGTGGTAACAGATAAGAAAATGTTTAACTGCACTGGAGTTAATTTAAATTTATTTCAGCACTTTTATTGCTTTCAAAGACCAAAAACAAAAACTACATTGTAACTCTGGGTTTCTCTTTTATATAAGTACATACATAAACATGTAGTGAATCAGCTCATGGGAAATATGAATAATTAATCATAACTAGTTATAATTAATTATGAATATTTTAGATCTGCTGTAGATATTTAGCTGACCTCTCAGGGTCAACTGTCTTGTCAATTCTAAGAACGTTAATTTCCTGGTTAAGGGAAATAACTTCCTTACTGTACAATTCTACAAAAGCTTGTAGCATAAATCTGCATGATTAAGTGACTCCAGTTATGAGCAAACAATGAACCACGTCAAGTGTAATACAAGTAAGGTTTTATTAACTACATAAACAATTAAACTGGCCCAACATACTACATAAACACTTAAACTGGTCTAACATACACACACACACACACAC